TTTTACATAGAATGTGTCTCTCACATGTTAGTGTCCCTATAAATGTTTCCTAAAATCTACAAAAAATGCTTAAAACGTTTTTACTGTCTGCACGAGTGACCAGAAAATGTCCGCTGGGGTGACCTTTGGACGTCCCTGAGTGACCAATATTTTGTGCCACCGACCGTCCCAATTGGACGGCTGTTGGTCATTCAGAATTTTTCCTCCAATCCACCCTTAATATGTACTTTGAGTGCATTTTCCCACTTTTAAATGCCGTCAACATTAAGACGAAATCAATCCCGCAAAACGTAAGTACCCAATAGTATAGCCGTTAAGCTGAACCGAAAATGTTTTTGAGTGACCAAAATTCATCCCAATTGGGACAACTTTCGGTCACTCAGAATGTCTTTTCAATGCACCCCTACCGTATACTGTAAATGCACTTTTCCTGATTGCAAACATTAGGCAGAAGTTAATTCCCAAATTGTAGCTACATAATAGCCGTTAAGCTAAACCGAAAGTGTTTTCGAGTGATCAAAAAGTGTCCATTTGAGACGGCCGGGGGCTCCAATAGTCACCCGTGCTGAGTGAAATTACGACTTGCATAAAAAGTAACGCCTTTTAGGCAAAGAACGGAGGTTCTAAAGATGTACAAGCTTATTTAATGGTATATCTGGACAGCTCACACCATTTATTTTCATATTAACTTTTTCCCTCTGCGAGTAACTAAAAACACGCCCAAATGGGACTGCTGGCCGTCCATCTGTGCGGAGTGGATTGGAACTATCAAAAGAAGCAAAACCTTTTGAAAACGCAAAACAGCTTCACAGGTTTCTCCCTTTGCATACCAGTGTGTATTGCTAAGCATTCACACTGCTGTTTTGCACTTTGGATTCCATACACACCCCGTGGGTTGTTTGCCCCTTGGTTCACAGTTCGTCGGATACATGCAGCCCAATGAGTCTCAACGAACTCCAGACAATCGGATTTTTATGAACTGTTCCCCTCACAGATGCCTTTTTAGAGTTTCGACACTGTAGGGAGGACACGGGTGGGTACCTGCTATTGTGCGATTGCACGGTCCCCCCCCCAGCAGCTGCATCAGATTTCACAACCGGTCTAGCAGAAGGTTGGCCGGCGACGGACAGTCCTCATGTAGATTGAAGGACTGCTTACACAGTCCCTTCTGGAGAGGTCTGTGTAGCAGTCTGGAGATTCCCCGGTTTGCCTGTGTGCAATTCTAACTAAAGTTAGTATTTGCTTGCACACTTAAGCGGCCGGCGCGGAAAGTTAAACTGGTTGTTGAGATCGATTGCTTGCATTTAGCATCACCATGTTGCTTGGCGCTCGCTTCGATTGCAACGCGCAATCGCCTTGTGTGCTGTGCATCTTACGTTCACTTAACCAGCAGTGTTCAACGGTGTCGTTTTTATAGCTAGGCAAAAAGGGGACTTTTGTTGTACAAATAACGTTTTCTCTACAACCCAATCTTCCTTCTGTACTCGCTATCCGGGCTCCAGCTAACGGCAACTCGCTAAATACTATATAGTTAGTGACCGCGTCTTCGATTTCACCGGCGCTGATACAACTGCCCAGGTAGTTGAATTATTGAACAACTGCTAGCTGATGCCCACCAAAGATCAGCGCAAGAGTTGGCCCCTGGCAACCTTGGAGTAAAACTTAGCACTTCGAGGGTGCAAAACAAACCCGAAATAGCTGACAGTCAGTGCTACACTATTCAGTGCAGATTGGCATATATATGAGCTGTCACCTATGAGTGCAATATCGTCAGCATACTTCAAAGCAAGAAGTCGTTCACTTGGGAGCAGCTCCACACCTACTAATTCGTATTCAGGGAACGGGACTTCCATGACTTAGTTAATAGCAAAGTTGAACAAAACGGTGGCAGCGCACATCCCTGTCTTAAACCGTTAGAGTTGTTGAAGGGCAGCAACAGATTGCTTTAAGCATTCATTCTGTCCGAGCTACGCGCGTAAAGCGCCCGGAGAATATTTGTCTATTTATCGTGCACACATTTATTTGCAGATAATTCCAAAGAACACATCGATTTACTGGATAGAAGACATCGTTGTTGTCAAGGAACAACGATGGGCTGCCCATACATGTGACAGTGCTCCAACAATTGGTACAAAGTGTAAATGTGATCAGGGCAGCGTTGACCTTGACGAAACCCGGCTTGCTTCTTGCAAAATCAGATTTTACGGGAGCTACTCAGTCTGTGAAGGATGATGGAGACAAGCAAATTCTTGGCGATGGAGATCAGCCTGATTTCGCTATGGTTGCCGCATTCCAAACGTGAGCCTTCATTAAAGATGGGGACAACAACGGAGTGGCTCCAGTCGGTTGGGCAGATAAACGAAATTGGTCCAATGGTTTTGGTGGTCAGTCAGCTTTACTGAGAAACATGTTGGTAATGTGGCTGTTAAATGCTGGCTGTTTTCGCACAACACTCCACGATGGGTTTCGTATTTCGTCGCAGTCATCAAGCAAAGTAGGATTACGACATCAACACGGGTTGTTTGGATTTCATCCGAGGTCTCTACCCCTAAGTACAAAATTGCAACAATCAGCGTTTGTTGCAGCACTTAAGGAACAATTGGAAGGGTCAAATTGAAGCAAAAACGCCATTGGGGTCGGCTCCTAGCCATATCAATAAGTTTGTCCAAACAAACGTGTTCATCATCCTTAGGATATTAGCCAGTCAGTCGGGATGCACCAACCAAAGCCAAGTTCGAAGTGCGGATTTTCATTCCCTTCGACCAAGTCATCGCTTGGCCTCCCCTCCTCCTCTTCCAACCACACCCGCGGCGCGCAAACAATGCACATAGCGGAAGTCGGTGTGCTGGCATGTGCAAAACCTGGCTCAGCCATTGGAGCCTCGTGCGTAATATGCTGGTTCGCAGCAGTTCACCTGCTCTTCCTGCGCTAAATACGTGACGTTGAACACGCCCATTGCTCACGCGGTGCTCACACCAGACATGAGCTAAGCTGCGAAGGCAGCGATAATCGATTGGGGCGAGTCTCTTTATGTCTGTCGACCTGATGGACCAGGTTTCACAATTGTATAAGAGGTTTGGACGGATGGCTGCATTATAAACTCTGCTCTTTAGGACAAGAGTAATGTCGCGTTTGCGCCACAGGTGGCGGAGATTTGCAAACGCACCTCGAGCTTTTGCTATACGGTTCGTAATCTCAGGTTTGATCCAACGGGCGCTAATATAGCTGCCAAGGTACTGGAATTCCTGAACGACTTTGAGCTGATCACCACCAAGGGTCAGCGCACGGGTAGGTCCTTTCCAAGCCTGGAGAAGTACTTTGCACTTCGATGGAGTAAAGCATAACCCAAAACGTTTGACAGCCAGTGCTAATCGGTCCAGTGCAGCCCAGTACGTCTAGGCGCTGTCACAGATTAGGGCAATGTCGTTAGCATACTCCAAGTCAACAAATCGCTCACCAGAAAGTAGCTTCACACCTAGGTCTTGTCCAGTGAACGCCGCTTCCATAACTTCGTCAATGATGAAATTAAAGAGGAACGTTGACAGAAGACGACTTTGTCTCACATCGCTGGATTTACTGAAGGTTGGCGACAGTTTACCATTAACCCTCACTCTGTCCGAACTATGTACGCGCTTTGATAATTTTCATTTATTTATCAGACACAGCTTTTCTCAACAGTCAGGCTCTGCACACTGTGATACCCCAGCCATGGTAAGGACCAAAAGCTTTAAATGAAAGTATATGAACTAAATTTGGTCTGTTTGCATGAATAGGAACCTATTGACTGGGCCGAGGAATAGCCGCGCGATTTTGTGTCAGCATGCAAGTTTGTTTGGACACAACGATAATCAATAAAGAGGATAAGATGGGAATAAAGGGGGTGACAAATCTGGAAAATAGCATGCTGAACCCCATCCACCCAGCTGAATGCAACAGGTAGAGCATCGCTGACTATTCTCTGTGATGGCTAGAGTATCAAGAAATAGTTTGATGTTGGCTTTACTGACTACTAAGCACTGTTAGTGTACCAAAATCGCCTAACATATAATAAAAACGTTCATCCCTAACTACTGGATAGACCCGCAGACGTTATGTCTAGGAATTGAGAGTATTCCCTTTAACATTGTTGTCTTACACCGCCAGTTAAGATGGTTCGGTCAAGTCCTGCGTATGTCCGCTGCGTGTTTGCTCCAGCGCACCCTATTTGCTCGTGTAGAACTTGACTGGAAGAAACTACGCAGTGGTCAACAATCCACTCGTCGTCTGTATATGAAGTCTTTGACCTCACTTCTTGCTACCTTTGGATTTACACGCCTGCAAGGTTAGGAACCCGAACACGAAGAGTGCCGATGGCTGGAAGAATGCAGAATATGGTGCGCAATAAAAGCCATGACAAGAGCTGTGTGCATAGTATTTTTCGAGTTCGATGGATAAAGCCTAACACTTAAAGAAGCTAATAGCAAAACAAAAAAGGTCGTGTGATAAATAACAAGACGTTCTATTCTTCTTGCAGCGCACTAGCTGTATTGGGTTGCACTCTTTCAACAATTGTGCTATAATAAGAATACTGCGATAACTTTGCCTGTCATTCGCCAATTTCCATGCATTGGATTGGCTATTAACTATATATCAGTCTGTTGATACGATACACGCGCACATATATAGACTCGAAGCCTTCACCCCGGTTAATGTATGCTCCTTACACGCTCCTTCGTACAGGGTTATAGACGCACGTTTGTCGTTAATTTGCTTTGGTGATGTGGCGCACAGATTCTTAAGGTTCCGAAGTCACATTGAGTTGATATGAGTAAACTTATGGATATATGATTTCAATTGATGAAAAAAGGTGTGCCGCTTTGCTATGCTACTTTCTAGGAAGCGTTTACTGAATCAAGTAGCTTGGTTCAGCCACGTCTGACACAAAGCGCGAGCGTACTAATTGCGCGTATATGTACATGCGAATATATTCCCTTGTCTACAAGGGAAAATTGTCAACTTACCTAGATTGTGAAGGTGTTGAGTGGACTACCCTGTAAAAAGGGCAATAACCTTGGCTGTACAATTTTGATTGCTTATTCATGTTCATTACGGTTATGCGTATTAGCTTTGCTGGTGCATATCCTCGAACGGAAAAATGAAACCATGTGCGATTCCCATTTTCAAACGGCGTATCTGCACAATCAGGTTTCGTCCACACCTTAAAATCATAGTCAACTTTTAGCTCAATAACCCTAACGTTTCCTGATGCATTGTTGTTACATGTGTTTTGCTTTGCTTGTGTGGGTTTGGATAATCCAGCAGAAGTGGTCGACGTATCGTCATTATCTGACAAAACGTTGACAACGCGTGCAAGATTTCCGGAGTCAAATTTGGAAGAGAAATGAAGCCCACCAACGGAAAATTCCATTGGAAGGTATGGACACACCGGCTACATGGTTCTGAAGGTCACGACAAGATCAAATCAGTCAGATTCGCACGTGACATTTTAACTATAGAAACCAGCAAAGTAGCATGGAAAAACACAGATAATATATGGGTATGCAAAGATGCGTTCATCATCGAAATCAGATACACTAATTGTTGAATAGTTAGCAACTAGCAGCTACTATGGCTAATTTATTTGGATGATCTGAACACTCAATGATAACGGACATAAATACATGGACCCAGGGGTGCACGGTTGTGTTGGGTGATTTGTCCTCCGACATGTACAATCAGAAACGGAAAATAGCAGTAAGAGTATAATTGAACCGTGAACCGACGGACAATCTTAGTTAAGGCACTTGCATTTTCAAATCGGCGTAACTGACTTTGGCAGCCTCTACTTTCGCTGCCATAGGCAGCTGCATAGACCGGATTAGTTTTTACTGGGAACATATAAAAGGTTAAAGCAACCGTATACCTATTGGATTTGCTGTTGCAAATGTACGGCGGCGTAAGCCACTCGACTGCAAACGCAAGTTCCCGTAGATTATCCGGAAAATCACGGATGCCTGGTGTCCACAGAATGAGCCGAAATGGAGCGTCTTATAGCCCTAATGCCACCTTCTGGGTGATGTTCATTGGGGCGCTTTGATGGGTGCCGCGCCGTTCGACCGAAATAAGTTGTGACACAGGAACACTCGAATTGATAGATGCTCATTGAAGCGGTCAGCATCGGCAGCGCGTCCTGGTTTTACGCACGTGCAATTGAGGGTTGCCGCTGGGAAAGCAGAGTTAACTAGAAATGACACGCGCTTTTGACAGGAAACCTTATGAAGCTTACTATCTTCTCGAAACTAAAATTGGTACCGAAACGGGTTTCTCCTAAATGTTCTTATTACTGTATCTATTATGGTATCTATTCTCATGCAGCATGTACCGTATGAATGCCAACCCATGGTTCAACTTGCTTTTTCTGTGCCGAATCGGACTAGGTTACAGGGACCAACAGAACTTCCGCATAATGAAGGTCTATATTTTTGATCCGGTCCGGATAGTTCGACGGATGGCCTTTCGTCTTAGTTGGACATAGTTTCGGCCAGTTCTTCGGATGTGCAATAACAATAGCAAATAAATTAAAGTGCCGTGCTTTGACATTTACATTATAATCCACTATTAACGTCACCGGTATCAACAGATGCGCCTTACATTTCGGCTGCACACTTCTATTTGACCTAAAGTACTGCTTCCATGCTGTTGAGGGAAGGATTTGAATGCCTCGTGGCGCGCCAGCGAGACAAAGCTTAGCCGAATTTCTGCCTCAGACACATTGTCAGTAGCCTTAAACTTCAGGCACTGTAAGCTACTTCTATGGGAACCGATTTTTGCTGAACTTGAAGTGCCTTTGCAGACAGGAAAGTGCGCGTACTGCGTAGATGCAGGCTGGCCATTTCGTTTTTATTGGACCAAACTTTGCACAAAAGGTTTTCATAAGACCGTAACGGGCAAAATACGGCTACCGAAGGCGCTGCGACTGAGGCTTCGGCGTGCATCAATTATTCATTTGTCCTAATGGCAACGCCGTCAAGGTATCCGTGGCCTCATGCAGTTCGATATTTGCTTGATTCTCCGTACTTCTGCTAAGGAATTAAACTAAACGCGAACTCAATCACCGTCAGTGTCCTTTTAACACGTCCACTTTGATGTAATGACACTTGTGGTCATAAACAGCTGGCCGGTACTCTTATATCAGCGTATTTTAGTAACCCGCTAAGCTATAAGGAAAAGGGAACGCATTGGTTGCGTCACCTGCCATGAACTAGGTGGGGTGTGGCGAGGGTATTAATTGCCATTAGCTTACGGAATGACAGAGAAGATTTACGCAGTTAGACCAAAGTGCACTGTGAAGCATCCGAGGAATAAAGGACGGATCCGCAAAGGTGCGAATCAGCGTGTTGTGCATGCTTCCGGGGGCAAATAAGGGAAGTGAGTTTACAATAAATAAGTAAGGCTCTAGGTTGGGGGATGCCATGACAAACAAAATGCAAAGTTTGCTAAATACCGAAAGCTATTGTTTCAGCTTCAATACAAGGGCCTCATTCTAGGAGGCTGTGCATGAGTAACTTATATGTGTGTCACATGTGGACGGTAAGGGTTAGCGTGGATGGGAATGGACACCAGGCGATAAAAGACACAGAGTTCAAAATAGAACGCTTTGCGGTGTACGCTGGGTTTAGCTTCGTTTCCTATATAACTAAGCTTATTTTCGGCGAAACGAGGCTTGCCAGTACAGGCTTGAGCAAGTGGTTAGCAGGGTCCCAGAAACGTTAAAGTGCGTGTTCACCCTACGACAGAAATACGTGTTGGCAAAATACGTGGCTCTAAAATTGCGCACAATTTTGCATTGGAATAAGGCAGGGGTGAAGGGCATGATCATTGGTGCCAAAAAGAAATGTTGCGCTGAAGCATCGTAAGATGGCTAAGTGTTTCTGCTTCGGAAATGCTGGGTGAGGGTTAGAGTGGTTCCGGAGATTGTCCATCGTTTGTCCGTTGGCGTAGATGTCCGTTAGTGTGTTTGATAAGCACGTTGTATATATAAATATCTCATATTGTGCGCATCCTCCGTGTGCCTTAGTAAGTAGTGGCGTTATTTTGGTGGCGAGTCCCATCTGCCACGTCGCAGTGTCGTTAAACAAACCTTTGTGACTTTTTATAGGGAAAACGCCTGACAGGCAAAAACCCGCTACGTCCTGGAACACTGCCATTGACCACAAGGTAAATAACATTGAGCTAGTTGTGACGCTTCTGTAGTTACCGGTTTTTCGAACAACTATGCGCAGTCATAATACACCCGATTTTCCTTTGGCTCAGTGGAAATGTTAGTAAGGATTCGCCAGTACCGGTTGGATCCGGCGGTTATGTTCAGAGATAGGCTGCTAAATAGGGGTGCTGCATTATGTAGGCGGGTATGGAAAAATAACCATAATCAGTACCATTGTCCGAGCAAATAACCCACCGGCCAGGTGGTGGTTCTGGCAGGTCTACGAGAGATACTCATTGCAGCTAAATGGGAGGCTTGCATGAAGGGGATGTTTTGCACGGTCGAGGAGCTTGTTGTTGTCCTTGGAATCAGGTACGGTCGAGGGCATGAGTATTGACCACAGACAATATACATCCGAAAGGTATTATGTCTACATACCACATTGGCGAGGTGGGTTAACTATCCATTGTACAATGGCGCCAATTTGATGAGGATTCTGATACCAGAAAGAAATAATCCACTAAAAAGGTGGACGAAGCATAACGCCATGGAATCGCAAGTAAGTTGAGATGAAATTGTTTTTCAGGTGATGTTTCGAAAGTAATAATTAGTTGCTCAAAATTGCTCAGACCAATGGAGAATACGGATCAAAAGGCTTCCAGGAGGAATTATCCACTGGCGAGGTGGAGGGAGCATCACGCTATGGCTTCTTAAGTATGCTGCTCACTCCCAGGTCGATGGAGCATTTTAGGTGATGCTCCGGAGGTAATAGTGATTTGAACCCAATCATTTGAACCAGTGGAAGGTATGGAGCAGAAAGCTTCCAGAATAGATAATTTCTTAGAGGACTAGGATTGATGACAGACCACACTGGCGATGTGGGTAAGGTGTCCCGCAGATAATGACACAAAGCGCATGAAGGATCTGGTTCCAGAAATAATCCACTGGCGAGGTGGACTGAACATAACGCCACGTCATCGCAGGTAAGTTGAAAAATTGCAGTGCGATGAAGCTTTCTGGATACGGTGTCCTGAAGGCAAAAGTTATTTGAACGCAGCCGTTCAAACCGCTAGATGATGCATATCAAAGGGACAAAATGCCCGAAGTGGTGGCATGAGCTGTTCAGATATGTTTATAGGTCAAGTTTATAGATAAGATGATTTAGGTACATTTATTCAGCGCTTCGATGCAAATCACGCGGTGGGAAAAGGAAGTGAATGTCAGGGAAAAGAGAGACTTCGAACATAACGAAAGAGGTAGGGAGATCTGGTGATCTCGAGCCTTGTTAAAATCTTACCACATTTAAATGTGTATCCATAAACCATGGGGGCATCTGTTTGTGGGTACCGTCTAATATTGGAGATGAGAATAGAAAACCGGTGTACAGATACTAGGTGTCGGGATATGTGGAGCAGTGCATCAAATGATAGAAGGCGCGGTACACAGTCGGTAAACACTCTATCGCATTGGAGCGGTGAGTAATTAGACAAAATGAGGCTGGACCTTACCGTGTTGCGATGGTTTGCTTGCCTCAGAGATCCATTGAGCTATGCTGGGTGGTGCATTTTTGCACCTTCAGAGCCACTCATGCCAGCTTGGTCCATGGTTAGGGGCCTGACAAACTCGGCCTCCTGGTCATCCAGGTTGGTGGTTGGAATGGGGGTGGCTCCTCATTTCATAAAACGGGCTCTATGTCTAGTGCCAATACCCGCTGCCTTGCGGTAAGGTTTTTAAGCCAAAGGCTTCGGTTGAGAACCCTAATCGTTCTCCTGTCTAGGCCTGGGTAACCTGACAGTATTCTGCCCACGCAATACAATGAAACTTTCCTGCAACAATTTCTTGATGCTCTGGCCGCCGCAGAGGATAATAGACGGCGTCCTATCTGCTGCATCGAGCAGGGTGGATAGGGGCATGGATTCTACTGCTCACGCCTTCCCGTCTTCTTATACCCCTTCCTGCGCTTCTTCATCCTTATCGTCCCGCTCCAACTTTACTTATATCCCCCCATTTTCAATTCCCTAATTCTTGGCCCTCCCCCAGCTTACTTCAATAGTCGCTTGTCTTCTAATTTCTAATCACACACAATCGCAGGGCGTCGCCCCAAGCCAGACGACAAGTGCATCTTCAACCAAGCGGACAACGTCAGTTTATCCGTTTCCCTTTGGGGTCCTCGTGCCTCGCTAAAACTGGCATGCCTCAACGTGCGCACTTTGCTGCAGATTGGCCAACAGGCAGCACTTGCCCGCACACTAGAGACCCTATCGATCGATATTTGCTGTTTATCGGAAACCCGCTTTCAAGGTTTAAGCTCCATGCTTACCCT